GTCATTTAGTTTCCTTCTGCGATGGCACGGGAGTGACGGGGCGTGTGGGGGCCGCTTTGAAGGCACCCGCTGCAGAGGAAGAGAACAGACGGGGTGTGCGGCGTGTCTCGCTGCGAGTGTGTGGGGCACCACCCATCGCAGCCTGCCGTGCGGCGTGATGCGGATCGGTGAGGGCAAATGTGCGGCAGCGGCAGACTGTGCGGTGGACGTGGATTCGCCCCGTCCTTCGCGTTGCGGGTGTGTGGGTGCGCTGTGGGGCCGGCTTCTCCTCCGCGTGTCTTTCGCCCTTGCACGGTGGATGTGTTTTGAAACGATCAATAATGAGGTGTGCGAGTGGCGATGGTGCGGCTGCTGCGGTGTGTGTGACGTGCGGCTTCGAGTGGTTTGTCTGTCATTGTCATCTCTCAGTGTTTTTGTGTGTTCCACTTCTCACCCTCCTCACTTCTCTCTGCCCCTCGCTAGACTGTGCGTGTGTGTGTGTCTTTGCTGCGGTGACAAGAGTGGGGATGGCTGGCCGTGTGCTGTTGGTGTGTGCCCTCTGCGTGCTGTGCTGCTGCGGCGGCGGTGTCGGTGCGTGGGGCGGCGGCTACTGCACGGAGAGTGACTGGAGGGACCTGAGGACGGTCACGAGGGACATGAGCGAGGCGGAGATTGAGGGGAAGTACTGTGGCCGCAAGCCGGAGTTTGTGCAGCGGTTGCGGGCGAGTCTGCAGGCAGAGAGTGAACAACGTCAGGCTGAGAATCAGGCTCAAAAAAATGATGAGAAGGCAAGCAGTGCCAGCGACCCCAAGGAAAAAGTTTCACAAGTAAGTCAACAACTGGGGCAGGATGCCTCTACTGTATCCACAAAACTGGAAACTGATAACTTACCGCTAAATCCATCGGGAGAGACAGGCGGAGCAAAAACTTCAAATCCGGATGAAGTGCCAGCAGCGTCAAATGGAAAGAAAGAGGCTAACTTACAGTCAGGTGGCAGCAGCCAAAGTCAAGTTGAAGATGGAGCGACAGGCGGTGCGGAGGGAACAGCAACAGCGCCAGCTGCCAACGCCACCACCAAAACAACGAAGGCGACGCATGGCGACAGTGACGGCGGCAGCGCGGCCTCGCACTGCACCTCCCCCTTTGCGCTTCTTCTGCTTTTTGCGTGTGCGGTGTCTGCTGCGATGACGGCAGCGTGAGGGAGCGGTGCGCAGCTCGTCCTTCGCTTAAATATATATATTTCTCTCTCTTTGTGTGTGTCCTCCCGCACGGACTGTCGCCCTCGCCCCACCCCACGAGGCACACACAAATAATGTGCTCATGCATACACGTACACTCATGCAGGCCGTTGGTCTTCCTTTCTGTTTTAATTATTTTGCTTTTGAGGGGCCGCTGCCGTCCTGCTTGGCTGCATGGGTAGAGCACCGTAACTGCTTTAATTATTTCATTTGTTTTGGTTTTGATTGCTTTCGGTGGGCAGCCTTTCTTTCCCTCCTTCTTCCTGGATTGGGCTGCACGGGAAGGGAGGGAGTGTGTGCGTGCAGGTCGGCCTACTTGCTGCTGCACGTCCCCACTGCTCGGTGGACGCCCCACGCTTCGGCTTCACTTCACGGGGTTTGTGTTTGTGTTTTTTATGTTTGTTGGAGCGTTCGGACGGAATGACTGGGTCGTGCATTGTGGTTTGCAGCGTATGGTGAGTGTGCTGTGCATCATCTTTTTCCTGTTGTATTGCTTTGTGTATGCGCAGGAGTCGCTAAGGGTGGGCCGGGAAAAGATTAATTTTTTTAAGGGACAACGCAAGATGCCGGCCGCGCCTCCACCTTTTCACCGTCACTCACACGCCATGGATAAAACGGGGCGTTTAACCGTCTGTTGTTGCGTTGGGTTCGGGGCGCGTGGTTGATAGTCTGGTGTCGAGGGGATTTTTTTTTTTTTTCACGCCTGTGGGAGAGACTGAAGGCATCGACTGTTCCCTCACCTCTTCGTTCTTGCTGGTTTCGTGCTTGACTGGATGCTGCGCCTCAGTGAAGAATGCTTCTGCTGGGGGCTATTCCTGGTTCGCGGGAGTGGGAGTGGAGCACGGCCGATGCTTCGGGGTGTGCGCCTTCGCACGTTGTGCCCTCCTTTTGGCTTTTAATAACCCACAGCTGCTCGCAGTGCCGTCTGACTGTCTGTCTGTGTGGGTGGGAGGAGGAGTGGCGGCCTGCATTTTTGGTGGGGCTACCCAACACATCTTCCCGCGCCGCCTCGTTTTCCCCCCAGCCAGACCCCAAAATAAGAGGCCGTTTTCTGCTGCTGCGGCTGCCAGGGAACGATTCCGCCGGAGCTGCTCATACGAGGCGTGCGCGTGTTTTATTTTCGCATCCTTTTTTGGCGACCGCTGTGTGGCCCGTCAGTGAACGCGCCGTAGACCACTCCTCAGAGAGGGCGAGGCGGCCAGCACTGGGAGAATCTTGGGCGGCGCGACACGGATATTTTTTGGGAGCTTGGGACGAGCGCGGAAGGATGCGTCTGCGTTGGGCGTCGGACTGCGCGACGCCTACTGCTGAGTGAGAGGCGGGAATCCAAAAGAAAACAAAAAAAAAAGGTGCGCCGCTGCCGCGTGGTTGCCGCGTCGGCTGGTTAATTATTTGACTGCGCACGTCAGCGTCTGTCGTGGCGCCGCGGTGGTGGCGCAAGGAGCCGTCGCTGCCGCCGCTCCTCCTTCACGGAGGGAGCTGTGTACAACCCTCGCTGCAGCGAAGGTGTCTGTGTTGAGTTTCACGTTGGAGAAGTTGGAGGGACACTACGAGGATGCCTGCCATGCGAAGGGGAGTCACGTCATGGAAGTTTCGGATGGGCGAGGAGGGATGAGGATGGAGCTGAGGGAAGGCAGGCCGCCACAGCCGTGGGATTAAAAGGTGGAGTGGGCAACTGTTCTCACGGATGACGGTGCAGTGTGGTTCCGCCCACCACGTCCCAGTCTGGTGGTGCCCACCTCCGAGAAGTTGCCGTACGCACTGCTGCAAGGATGTGGTTCTGACTGCTGTGTGTACTCCGAGGTGGAGCGGGTGTGGCGGATCGTTGAGGGCGATCTGGCCGGGCTGTTTGGCACGCACGGCGGGGCGAACTCGGCGTCTGTGCTGCGTGTCTTGATCGGGATGCCCGGGATCGGGAGGGCGGTGGCTGCTTGCTCGTGCCTTCTCTACCAGCTGCTGCACTACGACGCCGAGCAGCTCCACGCGGTGGCGTGCTTGATTGGGGAGCGAGCGTTTCTGTTTGACAGGACCACCAAGACGGTGTTCTTCTTTGGCTACTCGACTCCGGCGATGGAGAATTTATTTGGAGGTCTCCATGCAGATGAGGGGGTATATTATCTGCGACGTGATGGGGTGGAGGAAGATGTTGCCCGCCAAAATGCCTCCCACTGGGTGGGGCATGCTCGCCGTGTCGTCTCCAAACGAAACTGGCTACAGGGACTGGGAGGAGGACATGGGCGCCCGCCGGATCATCATGAACGGCCGTGATGAGAGAGATGTGATGGCAATGTGTGCCTGGGGATGCACGGGGAGAGCCTGCGGAGGGGCAGGCGGAGCAGTTAGGCGAGGCCGAGAGACGCATGAGTCGCTTGAGACCAGTCCGGCGTTACGCTTTCAGTCGCTACGGGAAAATGGAGTTGTGGGTGAGCTTCATACGCACATCGACCGACTCACGACGTGGGCTGTGAATTTTTACGTTGGGCTGGACAAGGTGGATTTGTGTGGTCTTGCAGCGTTCCGACTGGAGACTACTCGAAGATGGTACGGGTGGTTTCGGGGCGGGCAACGGAGTGCTTTCAGAACGCCCCGGGTTCCGCTTCGCTCAGTGCCGACGTGTTGGTGTGCGTGGCGAAGGTGATGCGGCTGCGTCCCGGC